AACATAAAGTACGATTTAGAAGTTGATAAATTGTGGTTACTATTCATTTTGTACTTTAGATCATAGGAGCAAAGTTTATAGTTATATAACAGAACCAATTGTAAATTAGGACTCTGTGTGCAAAGTTATTTTCCCTTGTTAGCAATTACCCTGGTTTGTCTGGACAAGCCAGTTATTGAGTGTCAGGCTGCAGTACAGGGAAGTGGGACAGGCACCTGGGTTCCTCTAGCCAGAGGTTCCCTAGATGGTAGAGGGGCACTGAGTAGGGCCTTTCCCCTTTCTTGTGGCTCACCAAAGTTCCTGGTGTGGCAGAGAGTGAAATAGTTTTAATATTGATCTTCCATGTAAAAATTTGTTTTAAGTCTTCCATAACTAAAAAATAACAATTTGGAGACTACTGATTTCTGCTAACAGAAGGACAGTTTCCATATTCTAATAGCATCATTGACCTGAATTAGAAGAACCTAAGATTCTTGGAGCAAATATCTACTTAGTATTATGATTATTATTCACATAATTCATTGTTGTGTAAAACTAAAATATTGTTAGAACAGTTGTGCACATTTTAAATACACTAAAGGTGATATCTAGCCTTTAGAGATCGGTTTTATAAGCCTAGAACCTAGAATATGTGTAGAGTAGTTTGACTATTATAATAAACTTATATCCAGTGATATTAGAAGTTAGTACTCTTGCAAAGATATATCATTTCTTTGACTTTTATTAGAGAATTTCAAGTTTCAGTATGCACATTAAATAGTGTTTCTGGAATTATTATAGTATATATATGCTTTTCATTTCTCAGGGCATTGTCTGTTTCCTATGAACATCCAATTTCTTTTTGGGAAATTGTTTTTCACTAGTTGTGGGGTAATTTTCATGATTAGTAAACCCAGATAACTATCTGTTCTAAGCTTGATTTTTTTTAAAGACTCTTTAAAGTTTTCAGATTTCCTAATATTTTAAAAAAATTCTCATTTTTCCTTAAGGTAGCCAAATTAGTTTCTGTGTTTTAGAGTTAAAGAACTCTATTTGATATACATCCTAGAGATGTATAGGTTACTGTTTTTTTTTTTTAAATACTGGATTTAAAAAAAGTATTATTTACAAGGTAGAGTTGCTTTTAGAAATACAGTTTAACACCTTGTATTTGATTTAGTTGAATATTTATTTGCAGTCTCAATTGAGAAATACAGTATATATTTACATGGATGTACATTTATGTATCAGTTTTCGTATTGGCCCTTTAAATATGTACCACCTAATAATAAAGTATTTCTTTCATGCTACTAAAGATTAATGTAAATTAAAAGTATGAACCGAAAATTTATCAGTAAAAAAGTCTAAAATATTATAGCAATGTTTTCTCTTGGATATGCCTCATTTGTTTGGATTTCTTTTCCTCTATGAATGTTGATACATTTTACAAATTATATAAAGAAATTTCACTCATAACAGCTCTTATTAAGAGCAATCACAATTCTGCTGTTGGAATAATTAGTGAAAGGAATAACTGAACTTCCTAGTTGTTGGAGTAAATAAAGTTTTACAGCTAGGTTTTCCATTCTGTCTCTGTATGTAGCTTTACAGTTTTTCTAGTAACATTAAAAATTGGCATATAAATCTGTTCATTATTTTAGGGACCTTTGAGGGAACTTGCTCTTGCCCTCACTTGAGGACTTAACAGCCTATGTTATGGAATCTAGGTTTTATAAATTTAATTTATATTTAGTAAACAGTTTTAAAAAACTGATTTCCACTATACAATCAGAGACACATTTCTTAGGAAAAGCTTTTATTATACAGAATAACTAGAATATGTACTTTGGAAGGGAAGAGTGTCAGTTATTCTTTTTAGAATTACTTTTTTTTTTTTTTTTTTTTTTGAGACAGGGTCTTGCTATGCAGTTCAGGCTGGCCTTGAGCTCACTTTGTAGCCCAGGCTGGTCTTAAACTTGCAACAATCCTCCTGCCTCAGCCTCCCAAGTGCTGGGATTAGGCATGAGCCACCACGCCTGGCTTAGAATTATTTTCAAAAGAACTTCATTGTACTTCATTCTACATTTACTCTTTGAAATTATTTCATAGGACAATTTACTTGTGATTATAGGTATTTTTTATAGTTTTTCTTTGCCCTTTGTAATATTTGATAATATATAATGATCTAATTTCTCTTCAGTTAGATGTTGGCCAAGTGTTTTATTAAAGGCCAGATAGTATGTATTTTTTACTTTAAAAGCCATGTGATCTCTGTTGCTGCTTCCCTACTCTGCTGTTTTAGTGTAAATTCAGCCATAGAAAATGTGAAGGGCTGTGTTCTAATGAGACTTTTGTTTCCAAAGACAGGCACTGAACTAGAATTACTGTTAAATGATTTCTGAATGATTCAGAATTGTAGTTAAAACTTTTCTTTTTAAAGAAGTAGATTCCTTCAGCAAGGAATAGTTTCTAGTCTTTACTCAGAAATAGTTTTCCATATCTGACTTAAAAAGATGATCTTATATTAATGAGATAATTAATTCTTACCTAAAAATATAGACACATATAAGTGCCAAAAGCCATCTTAGAGATGAATGAATGAATAAATATGGATGAATGAACAAAGGAATAAGTGAAAGCTGTATGACCACGTGTTTCTGAATCAGAATATGCTTGGAAGTTTAAAATTTTTGTGTTTCAATGATAATGTACTTAGAGCTCCAGTTGGGCAATTTAGGAATTTAGTGAGATCCAAATAAAAAATGAAAAAGGGGTTGGGGATGTAATTAAGAGTGAAGGTTCTTGGTTCAATCCCCCCCCCCCCCAGCTAATTTCTTTTTCTTTGTTCACCAATAAGAAACAATTCCTCTGAGTTTTATAATGAATTGTGGCAATTTAGGTTATGTATTCAGGCTTCACTTCCAATTCTGGTTCTCTTGCTGTTTCTACCATATTTGCAGTTATTTACTAAATGACATCTTTAACCCCTTAAAATCATCTAAGAGGGTTGAAATCAGTGTTTTGCAAACTTTTAAAAATGTTGATAGTTTCACCTCTTTCCATAAATAGCAAATGTTCCTAATGTCATTTTGAATGGAGAATCCTTTCCAGAAAGTTTCCTATTTATTTTTCCCATATCAGCAGAGGAATTACTATTGATAGCAGCTGTAATCTTATAAAATGCATTTCTTTACTAATAATACTTTAAATTAATCCTTTACTTTGGCTGCAGAATGACTGTTGAATTACCAGGCCTGAAAACAACATTGGTCTTGTACATGTCCATCAAAGTTCTTGGATGACTAGGTGTATTTTCTAAAAGGACTGATATTTTGATAGGAACCTTTTTCTTTGAACAGTAGATCTTAACCATGGGTCTAAAAGGAAACCATGTTGTAAACTAGTATGCTATAATTTAGTCTTCATTTCTCCATTTATAAAGTACAAGAAGTATGTTTTAGAATAATACTTTGGGACCCTAGGATTTTTGAAATGATAAGTGCGCTCAAACTTAAAATCAACAGCTGCATTACCAATTAATGAGCGAGTCAACCTATCCTTTGAGGTTTTGAAGCTAGATAATCACTTCTGTCTTCAGCTATGAAAGTCATAGATGACATTTCCCAGGATAGGGCTATTAGATCTACACTGAAAATCTGTTGTTTAGTGTAGTCACTTACGTCAGTTAATTTACCAGTTTTTACATTAGTACTTGCTACTTCCTACACTGTTACTTTATAGAGATGGCATCTTTCTTTAAAACTTGTGTACCAGTCTCTGGAAGCTGCAATTTTTACGGCTTCCACACCTGTCTTACTCTGCATAGAATTTAACAGTTAAGGCCTCAGTAAAAGATTACCATAACAAATAACAATCACAATAAAAATAATGAAAAATTTCAGTATGAGATACAGAGACATGAGAGGAGCACATAGAGTTGAAAAAAGCTATTGATATAGACTAGCTTCATTCAGAATTGCTGATTTTCAGTTTTTAATATATGTGGTATTTATGAAGTACAGTAAAATGAAGTGCAAGAAAATGAATTTTATTAGATTTATGTTTGTTGATTTCTTGCTTTTGTACTTGTAAGGGAACTTTAAGCATGAAGAGTTTTTCTCCACTATTTGAACATATTTTAGTTTCCTTAGAATGGAAATCATTTCTGAGTTCTCACATTTGGTGAAAAACATGTTTGCCTTTAGGAACGTTATTCCATTACTTACGTTTGATCTAATTTGATTTACATTTTTTAGATAAGGAAAGTAAGTCTCATGAGTAACATCACAAGGAAAGATAAAGTTGTATTTGGAACTTCATAGTTTTGAAATTATTTTGCACTAATCAACAATTTTCCTTTCTTTATACATAAATTCATTTATTAGAACGTATGTAAGACTTCTTCCTGCAGGCTTTTGGTTTGTCCTTCATAGTGAAGCTAACAAAAAATATAATCTTTACTTTAAATTTGTTTAATAATTTATAATTTGCAAATGCTTTTATTTTTTGTTTTGTTTGTGTTACTGGGGATCAAACCTAGATCCTCATATGTGATAGGCTATATTCTTTACCATTGAGCCACATTCAGAGGTCTCTATTTTTTTTAATTAAAAATTTATAGCAACTTGTAAAATATGATTATTTCCATTTTATACATGAAGGCTTGATGATGGAAAGATAAACAGATTTATTCAAGATCACATTTGCTAGTAAGTGACAAAAGTGGAAACTGAATATGTTGTTTTTGATTTTAATATTCTAGTAGGATACTAGAGATTTTCTGAAATTATTCACTATTTAAATAATTTTAAAAATTGTGGTATTTATTAAAGTCTAGAGATTGTCCTGCTCTGGCATAGTATCTACTATTTTCTTGCAAGTTACATTTCAGGCTGTTTACTATTTGTGTTACATTTATTAATAAGATGAACATTAGATTCTTAAATTTTTGAAGCCACAGTTTGTTTCTATAAGATAAGGATTTTGCTGAATTCAGTATGTTGTTTAATTTGTTTTAATAGGTCCTGACTGCTCTTTGAATGTTCCTTCTACTGAATCTTACTGGATTCTTCCAAATGTTAAACCTTTCAGTCCTTCAGTAGGCCGGGCTTCACACAAAGCAGTTTTACATGGAAAATTTATGTGGGTGATTGGTGGATATACTTTTAATTACAGCTCTTTTCAAATGGTCCTGAAGTAAGTATTTATATTCATATCTTCATGGCCTTTATTTTTTGGAGTTGGACTTTCTTGCTATTGAAAAGTTATTTTTTTGAAGATATGTTTGTTAAATGGTAATGATTTGGGAATGTCTACTCAATTTGTCCATGATCAATTATTTGTCATTGTACATATGTTTGTTTTGTGTTTCATTTCATTACCTCTCAATGGCATGTTAATAAATAAGTTCCAGATAAGACAGCATTAATTTTTACATGTGTTTATGTTTAGTATAAGAATTCTGTCACCTATTACATTTTCTGAATGAAGTGTAATTGTATATACTTAAATACTTTCATTTTTTCCCTGCAAATTAATCCTTTAATTTATAGAAAAGAATAAGTACATATATTAGATAATTATAAAAATATGATATATTAGAAAATAAACAGTTCATATTCATACTTATATCTCTAAGATTATATCTGTATAAACTATGAACCATCAGATTAGAAGTGAATTTGTTGTTTTCTCAGGTTAGAGAATTTTTAAAAATCATTTTGAATGTAGTTCATATGTAAGTGAGGATATTTAAATGACTTTTAGAAATGATAATATCACTAAGTACTTTATTATTCTATATCAGGATTTATTTTATGGGCCCCATGCATACTAGCAATGCACTCTTCCACTGAGGTACATCACCACCAGCCCTAGAGTAGAATTTAGTTAGGGTGTAGGTGTTACGCTTTAAGATTCAATAAATAGTGTAAAAGCTTTCCACATTAGTGTTGATTTAGAGTTATTTTGCAGAGTGTGTATGTATTAACATTAATAAATTTTTTTTTATTATTTTGAAGGTAGTAAAATACAACAGAACAAGACAGAACAAAGCCAATTGAGACAGTGTAGTGAAATTGGTACAGAACTTCACAGCAGGTTACTGGGATAACAGTAATAGGTATCACAGTATATCTCTTTATCTTCACAATAGTTCTTTCAATCATGTGTAGCAAAATAAAATGAAATACAGAACATTATAGAACTTATCAAAACAGAATATTGAATAGATCTGTACCATTAATCAGAATAAATCAAAACAGTAATAAAAATAGTTGCCTTCAAAGAGATGATAGAAGAAAATCCCCCTTATTTGTTATATTGCATATGGTTAACCTCCCAATAGATGCTTAGACCTCTGGTTCCCATTTGCTAACTTGGGCAGGGGAAGTAGAATGTTTGACTTTCAGCCAGTGCACCAGTAGACTCACTATTGCTTAGCAGAGAGGCAGACTTGTTGCTTGGTTTCCTAGTGCCCTAAGTTCCAACATGGTGCAGATCTCAGGAGACGCTGGTGGTTCTCCCCCTGGAGAGTCTGCAGCCTGCCACACCATAGCTGCTCACCAGGGAGTCGAGCTGGTTGCTTGGTTTCCCAGCATAATGGTGTGGATCTCAGAAGACGCAGGTGGTTCTTGGGGCCACAGCTGACCATACCACAGCCACTTACCAGGGAGGCTGAGACTATATCTTAAGTGAAATCACATTACTAAAAATTAATATACAACGTGGGCATGACTATTTTGAACACTTACCATGTATTTGGTACTTGGGATATATCAGTGAATGTGACAAATTTCCTTGTCATTGTGAAGTTAGTGAAGAAAAACTAGGAATGAAAAATTCATATGAAAAAGTAAATATGCTTACCAAAGTAAGTTATATATATGGATATACATACATAGGTAGGTAGACAGGCTGGTAAATAGCAGTGATATGTAGGTAAATAGAAGTGTAAAAGAAGAGCCTTAGTTAAAAATATAGTCATCCAGTTAGTGCTTATGGAAAAGGTAAAGACTGAATAGAAACTTGAAGTCACAAACAAGATTGGCACTGCAGTAATCTGTAGGTACAGAAAAAAGGAAGACTAGTGCCTTGAGGTAGGAGTGTTTTCTTGAAGTATTCAAGTAGCAACAAGGAGGCCTGTTTGTTTGTATAGAATATATAAAAGGGAAACATGAAATAAGAGTGACAGTAGAGGAGGAAGACAAATCATGTAGTGTTACAGATCTTTTGGGGATCATGGAGGCTTTTGAATATGCTTTGACTTATACTTCAGAAGAGTTGTTATGTCCACTTTGTTGAACATAGATGGGGGTTGGGAGGAAAAGGAAAAACAGTGATTGAGTTAGAATGGGATTATCACAGGAATGAGTTTTAGACAGAGAAGACCAAGAAATGAGTCTGAGACACCATATCACTTTGAGAAGAGGAGAGGAGCAGCAAGGGCCTGAAAATGAATGGCTGGCAACATAGGCAAAGCAACAGCATGCAAGGTCTTCAAAGGCAAGAGAAGAGAGTGTATGAGGATTAAGGGAGGACTAACAACATTAAATGCTGATAATCAGTTATGTCAAGGAAATGAAGACCAAAAAGTGGCCATGGATTTAGTATGAGGAAGCTGAAATTAATGAAAGCAGGTTTACTGTAATGGTTAGGTTAAAAGCTTGACTAGAGTTAGCTTAAAATAATAGGAAGTATTTAAAGTAATGCAAATAAATGGAGCAGTGAAGAAACAGGGTAGTTATAGTAGTAAATACCCATATCAGGAAAACAGAGCAAGCACATACGAGCTTAATGTTGAACCTGAAGCTTCTAGAAAAAGAGCAGGCTAAATCAAAAGCTTATACAAGAGAGGAAATTACAAAGATGAAAGCAGAAATTAATAAACTTGAGACTAAAGAAACAATGCAAAGAATGAATGAATTGAAGAGTTGGTTCTTTGAAAGTTTAGATAAAATTGACAAACCCTTGGGCAACCTTATCAAAAAAGGAAAGACTCAAATCTATGCAATTAGGAATGAAAAGGGTGAAATTACAGCAGACTTTGTAGAAATCCAGAACATCATCTATACTTACTTTGAAAACTTGTATTCTAATAAGGTGGAAAATACAGAAGAAATGGACAGATTCCTAGATACATATGAATTACCAAAGCTGAATCAAGAAGATACAAAAATCCTAAATAACCCAATATCAATAAATGAAATTAAAGATGTAATTAAAAACCTATCAACAAAGAAAAGCCCAGGTCCTGATGGATTCACTGCTGATTTCTACAATTAGTTTAGTGAGGATCTAACACCTCTACTTCTCAAACTCTTTAATGAAATTGAAAGGGAAGCAGTACTCCGAAATTCATTTCTATAAGGAAGCATTACTCTGATTCCAAAACCAAAGAAGGACCCAACTAAGACAGAAAATTACAAGTCAATCTCCCTAATGAAAATTGATGCAAAAATCCTCAGTAAGATACTTGCAAACAGATTGCAGCAAATCGTTAGGAAGATTGTACACTATGATCAAATGGGATTCATCCCAGGGATGCAGGGATGGTTCAACATATAGGTAAATCCATAAATGTATACATCAGTTTAACAGAGCCAAGGACAAAATTGTATGATTATCTAATAGATGCAGAAAAAGCTTTTGACAAAGTCCAGCATCCATTCATGATAAAAACCCTACAGAAAATTGGAATAGATGATGTCTGTCTCAATCTTATAAAGGCCATCTATGACAGACCAATAGCCAACATCATACTAAATAGACAAAAACTGAAGCTGAAAGCTTTCACTCTAAAATCAGGAACAAGACAAGGATGTCCGCTGTCTCCATTCCTATTCAATGTAGTCCTGGAAACTTTAGCCAGAACAATTAGACAAGAGAAAGAAATAAGGGACTAAAGATAGAAAAGGAAGAAGTTAAATTATCATTATTTGCAGATGACACGATACTCTACTTAGAAGACCCCAAAGACTCCACCAAAAGACTTCTGGATTTAATAAGCAAATTTAGTAATGTAGCTGGTTATAAAGTCAACACTCAAAAATCAATAGCTTTCTTGTATATGAAGAACAAATTCACTGAGAGACAAATCAGGAAAATAATACCTTTTACAATAGCATCCAAAAAAATGAAATACCTAGGAATCAATCTAACAAAAGATGTAAAAGACTGCTACATTGAAAACTTTAATACTCTGAAAAAGGAGATTGCTGAGGATATTAGAAAATGGAGAGATGTCCTGTGCTCTTTTAAAGAACGAATATAGTGAGAATGGCCATACTTCCAAAACTGTTATACAGATTCAGTGCAATTCCAATCAAGATTTCAATAGCATATCTTACAGAATTAGAGAAAACAATCCTAAAATTCATCTGGAATCAGAAAAGACCTACAATAGCAAAGGTGATTCTGGGCAAAAAAACAAGACAGGGGGCATCACAATCCCTGACATGAAAATATACTATAAAGTTACTATGATAAAAGCAGTGTGGTACTGGCAGAAAGACAAATCTGAAGATCAATGGAATAGATTAGAAGATGTGGAAATAACTGCAGACACACTAAGTTACCTTATTTTTGACAAAGGTACCAAACACATTCACTTTAATAAAGTGTTGGAAAAAATGGCTTTCCACATGCCAAAGATTAAAGGTTAAAACTGGACCCATATCTTTCACCATATACTAAGCTAAAATCAAAGTGGAGTGAAGAACTTTAATATTAAAACAAACGTTAAATCTGTAGGTGAAATCTTGAAAATATTAGTGTAGGCAAAGACATTATGAATAAAACCCAGAGTGCACAGGACTTATTGTGAAGAATCACCAAATGGGATCTCATCATACTGAAAAGCTTTTGCTTAGCTAGAAAAACTACCAACAGAGTGAAGAGACAGCCCACTATGTGGGAGTAAATTTTTGCCAGCTGTTCCTCAGATAAAGGATTATTATTGAGAGCATATAAAGAGCTCAAAAAAATCAGTCCTCTCAGATTTAAAGATCCAATCCAAAAGTGGACATCTGAGATGAATACATACTTCTCAGATGAGGAAGTACAAACAGCAAATAAATACATGAAAAAATGTTCAGCATCACTGGTCATTCGAGAGATGCAAATTAAAACATCACTGAGATTTCATCTCACTCCAGAAAGAATAGCTAGTGTGAAATCAACCAACAACAAATGCTGGAGGGGCTGTGGGGAAAAAGGAACCTTTCTCCACTGTTGATGGGAATGCAGACTGGTACACCCACTGTGGAAATCAGTGTGGAAATTCCTCAGAAAACTTAAGATTGGAGACCACGTTCAACCCATCTATTCCCCTTGTGGATATTTTCATAAACTAATTAAAAAATCATACAGTGATGTATGTAGACCCATGTTTATAGCAGCACAGTTTATAATAGCCAGATCTTAGAAACAACCTAAATGCTTATAGACTGAGGAATGGATAAAAAGGATGTAGTATTTTTATGTAATGGAAGACTATTCAGCCATAAAGAATGATAAACTAGACATTTTTTATAGGTAAATGGATGCGTCTTGAGAACATACTTATTAGTGTTTTAATTCCACACGTATAAACATCATAATTTTTCATTAGTATGGTAAGGAAAAAGCTGCATTTACTTTAACTAACCCACTCTGAGTTATTTTGAGTTGACTTTTGGATGTCTTAAGAAATTTTTGATGTGCTATGAGATTTGGGTTTTCTGCATGTGGATATCCAGTTGTTCCAGTATATTTATTGAGGGTATAATCCTTTCTCCACTTAATTGCTTTTGCATTTGTCCAGAAATCAATTGTCTGTTTTCTGGATATCTATTTTGGGACTTTATATTGGTACTTTGGTGGTTTGTCTATCTTGATATCAATGTCGTTTTGTCATGATTGGTGTAACTTTGTGATAAGTAGTGGAATTGGGGAGGGTTAGGGCTCTACTTTGGTTCCTTTATCAAAGTTGTTTAGACTATTCTGAGTCTTTTCTGTTTTTACAGAAATGTAAGAATCAATATGTTAGTATTTATGAAAAATGGTGCTGATAGTTTGATAACTGATTGTATTTTTTGATTTTTATAATTCTATTTGTTTTTGGTTTTATTGTCTTATTTTTAATTTCTCAAAGATATGAGGATATTTCATAACTTCCTTTTCTAGTAAATGTACTTGGGGTAAAAACACAGGGTTGTAACTTAAAGGAAAAGTGAGGTAAAAAGTTTTTTATTTTTAATATAAATGGGGAAATGCTGATGGCAGTGATCTAGTGGGACAAAAAGTGGTAATGTAGGATCAAGACGAGAGGAGTTCTAGAGTGCAGTGGGACCTGGTGCACCAGGAACATGAACAGGTTATGTGTGGCTGCCATCAGTAAACTACAAGGTTGGGGCCCAGATTCTGAGGCAGAACTAAGAATTTTTTTGTTAGCATACACATCATCTGTCTTGTAACTCTAAGGTAGGAAATAAATTAAATGATTCCAAAAACCATTTTGGTAACTCTCATATATCTTGTGAAGGGGCAGTTTCTTGGCTTTCCTGATGAGTTGGAGGAAGAATGCAAAGTAGGACAATTGACAGTGAGCTTCTTAAAATAGTTCTGTATTTTTTAAATTAAAAGTTATTTTTAAAACATTTTTATTAGTACATGTTTGCAGTACATAATAATCACATTCATCATGGGGGATTTGTATGTATGTATAGCACATCTGAATTTTTTTTGATACCCTTTCCCTCTCCTTCTTTTAAATCTTTCTGTCTTTATTTCCAAAAGCTCAATTTCCAATTTTATTTCTCTTTTTTTCTTTAAATCTCTTTTCCAATCCTTCCCTTATCCCACCTTGATTTCTTGTTCCTCTTCCCATTTAAGCAGATTTTTCCTGCTTCCTAATACCTATCTTCCACTTTATTATTTATTCTTTTGTATTGGCATTCTGTTTCTTACCTGGTTTCTTCCTCTTGTATGTTTTTAGGAAAATTAAGATTTGGGAGTATAGTGAAGTATGGGATGCTATTAGGTATTTGAAATTCATACTATAGAACTTCTCTTTTCATTTATAACAGACTAGTAGAAAAATTGTTTATTTTTGTATTCTTAATCCAAGAATAAGTTATTTTTTGTACTGCTGGATTTATTTTACATAATTTAAAAAATTATTGGTAAATGAATCAATTTTTATGGGAAATATATAAATATATAAATATATATATTTAATATGAATAAATATATATTTTTATATATATAACATTTTTGCCAACATTTAATGGTTTTATATTATATATAACCCTAACTTGCTTTATATATTGCTAAACTAATCTGTGAAGAATAAAAATGAATGCATAAAGCAAATGGCATTGTAAAAATGGAGAGAATTTTCAAATGCAGAAGAGCTCACTATTTTTTAGGTTAACTAGTTGATTTCAGACAATTAGGCAAAATAATTCTAGTAGTAATATCCTATTTTGGTTCATTTGTATTATCTAACTGAATACTAATTTTGATATTTGACTGAATATTCAGTAAAACTTTGTAATATGGTGCATGAAATATTAGTTTATTAGTTATAATTCTTTTCAAATTTAATGAGAATTCTTATATAACAAGAAAAGCATATGAAATTAAGAAAATGAGTCTTAGCTTATGAAGTTCTTTTGTTGCTTTTAGTTACAATTTAGAAAGCAGTATATGGAATGTAGGAACTGTATCCAGAGGACCTCTCCAGAGATATGGACATTCTCTTGCTTTGTATCAGGTATGACTCCTGCTTTTATAATTTTCTTCAGTTCTTTTAAAAAAATTACATTAAGGGGAAATCTTCTTTTAAACACTTTAAACTGTCTTTTAAGCAGTTAATTAGAACAGTAAATCATTATAAATCAAAGTAACTTGAGATATTATGAGCTCAGAGTAGATTTAGTGGGTTTTATTACAATTGCCTTTTAGTCCTGTAAAGAAATAGAGATTGACTTTTTGTCAGGGGCTTTATACCTAGTCATTGGTTAGTCACCTTTTTTTTTTAACATTACAATAATTATACATAACATAGAATTTATTATTTTAACTATTTTTAAATGTACAGTTCGCTGTCATTCTCAATGTATAACCATCATCATCATTACTTCCAAAACTAGTTTCATCTTGCAAAACTGAAGCAAAATTCTTCATTCTTTCCTTCCTTAATCCCTGGAAATTTATCAGTCTGCTTTCTGTCTCTGTGGATTTGACTACTGTAGGAACATCTTGTAAATAGGATCCTGCAGTATTTGTCCTTGAAAGTGGCTGGTTTCCCTTAGCGTAATGGTTTCAAGATTCGTTCTGACTGTAGCATGTGTCAAGAATTCCCTTACTTTTTAAGACTAAATAACATTTTGTTATATTTTGTTATAATTTTTGCAAATTCATACCTTTATTGATGGTTACTTAGATTGCATCTGGTTTCTTCCATTGTGAATAATATTTCTATGAGCATGTGTATACAAACTACTGGTTTGATTCTTTTAGTTCTATTAGGTATGTGCTCAGAAGTAGAACTGTTGGATCATAGGGCAATTTTGCTTAAGTTTTTGAGAAACTTCCACACTATTTTTCCACAGTGTCTGCACTGTTTTGTGTCCTTGCCAGCAGCACACATTGGTTCTGGTTTGTTCACAGCCTTGCCAACATTTAATGGTTTGTGTTTTTGCTTTTCAGTGGTATGTCTAATATGCATGAAGTATCTTTTCATGATTTTGATTTGAGTTCATCTAATAATTAGTGTTGCATAGTTTTAAGTGCCTATCAGCCATTGGTATATTTTCTTTGGAGAAATAGTAGTTTAAGCCTTTTGCCATTTTGAATTAGTTTATACCTTTGTTAAGCTGTAGTTCTTTATATATTAGCTCCTTGCCAGATATGTAATTTAAAAATATTTTTTCCTCCTATCTCTTTACTTTGCAGAAGTTTTTAGTTTTTTCATTTCATTTTAAAATTACATTTATTTTTGTGGTGCTGAGGATTGAACCCTCAATATGTCTTGTGATATTGAGGACATGCTCTTCCATTAAATTATAACCTCAGTCCAGTTAATTTTGTCACCTTGCTTTGGTGTCATATATAAAATTATTACCAAGTCCATCAACATGAGATTTTCCATCTTTTTTCTTAAGAATTAAAAAATTTTTGCTCCTGTGTGTAGGTGTGTGGCATAAAGTAAGGGTCCAATTTTTCATTTTTCTGCATGTGTGTAACTAGTTTTCTCAGCATCATTTCTTGAGACAATTGTCTCAAGAATGTTTTGGATGTTTTGGAATGTTTTTGGAATTCTGATCAAAAATCATCTGACAGTTTACATGAAGGTTTATATCTGGGTTCTCCTCTTCTGTTAATTTATGTTTGTCTTTATGGGAGTACCTCACTATTTTGATTACTATTGTTTTGTAGTAAGTTCTGAAGTCAGACAATATGAGACTTCAAACCTTTGTTTTGTTTTTTCAAGACTGTTTTGGCTATTTAATATTTCTTAACATTTCATATGAATTTTAGGATAGTTTTCTATATTTGAAAAATTTTACTTGTTTCGGTAAGATTATACTGGAATCAGTTATGTGTTAGGGATTCATGAATTTAGCATGGGATTATAAGGATAGCCCTCTTCAGAATGTTTTATTTTGAATCAGTGAGTTCTTGGTTTTTGTCTATGGTTAGATCTTTGAAATCAAAGTTTCTGTATTTTCTGTACATAAGCAAAAATTTGGAAAATAACAGAAGTAATATAAAGAACACACTACTGCTCTATGTATATATGTTTAAAAGCAGCAGTATTTATATGAGTGTTTAGTAAATATCCATATTTATATTTCTTTATCTTTTAGTTTTTTTTGTTTTCTTTTTGTAAAATCTTGAGATATAATTGATGTCTGTATAATTCACTTTAAAAATTATGTAATTCACTTCTTTGAGTGTATTAGTGGGATTATATCTCTTGTAGACTTGTGTAGGGTCTCATCAGAGTTGTGTAATCAATTTTTAAACATTTTCATCACCTCAAAAAACATCTTGTAACATCCTTAGCTCTTTTTTAATTCTTATTTTGTTACAAGGTTTTGCTAAGCAGCTAGGTTATCCAGACTGGCCTGGAATTTATGATCCTCTTGCCTCAGCTTCCCAAGCATGTGCAAGCACATCTAACTAGCTCGTATCCTTTTAACTATCTTTGTAAATTACTTTATCCTCCTATTCTTAGGCAATTACAGATCTGTTTTTTGTTTTATAGATTTTTCTATTCTGTGCATTTTATATAGATTAACTCATTCTGTGACTGATGATTAACATATTTCACTTAGCTTAGTAGTTTCAAGGTCTGCCCATGTTGTAGCATTTATTGGTGGTTCATTCACTTCTTTTTTTTTTTTTTTTTTTTTTTTTGTCTTTTTCCTTTGTATTCGTACCAGGGATCAAACTCATGACTGCCTGCTTGCAAGGCAGGCGCTTATGCCACTGAGCTAAATCTCCAGGCCTGGTTCATTCATTTCTATGGCTGAATAATATTTGACTGTATGGATGTGCCACATTTTTTGTATCATCAACTGATAGGCTTTTGGGTTCCTTTTATCTTCTGGCTATAATGGATAATGCTGTTATGAACCTGTGTGTATAAGTTTTATGTGGATATGTTTTTGTTTCTCTGGATTATATAGATATCATAGAAATGAAGTTCCTGAGTCAAATTTTAGCCTCATATTTAATTTCTTGAAGGGCTACTAGACTGTTGTCAAAAGTGACTGTGCCATTTTATATTCCTACCAGTCATGTGTCAAGGTTTCCAGATCTATACATCCTTGCTACTTGTTTATGTTTATCTTTCATATAAACTGTCTTCAGTAGTGTAAAATATTATTTCATTAAGGTTTTGGTTTGTATTTCCCTATTAACTAGTGATATTCTACATCTCTTTATGTGGCTGTTTGTATATTGCTTTTGGAGAAATGTTAGTTCTTGCCTATTTTAGTGTTAGTTTTTTCATTATTGAGTTATTAAGTGGTATTTATATGTGATACATATAAGTTCTGAACAAATACAAGATTTTCAAATATTTTATCCATTCTTTCGGTTTTCCCTTTTTTTTGTGGTACCAAGAATCAGACTTATGCCCTCTGAGCTATGTCTCCAGCCTTGTTTTCACTTTCTTGATGGTTTGTTCTGAGGTGCAAGGTGTTTTATTTTGATGAAGTCTAATTTATCATTTTTTTTGTTGCCTGTAGTGTTGTTATATCTAATGATCCACTGCCAAATCCCAGGCCATAAATATTTACCATTTTTTTCTTTGAGAATTTTGTGGCTTTGCCTCTTATATTTAGTTCTTCCATGTATTTTGAGTTAAATTTGTTCATAAAGCGTAATAAGAGTTGGTCTCATCTACTACTATCCAGTTTTCCCAGCACCATTTGTTGAAGAGAGGTAGTTCTCTGCCATTTGCCTGATCTTGGCACTCCTGTCAGAAGTAGTCACCCATAAATGTATTGTTTTTGTTTTTTGTTGATTTGTGTTTGTAGTAGACAATCTTGATTATGCTGTGTTGTAGTCATTTTCATGAAGTGTGAGTGTTCCACCATTATTTTTTTTTTTTTTACAGGATTGTCTGGTTTTTTGTTTGTTTTTGTGGTTTCTTGAGAATGGATCTCACTATGTGCTTTAGGCTGGCCTTGAGCTCACTGTGTAGTCCAGGCTGGCTTCAAACTCTTGGTGATCCTTCTACCTCAGCCTCCCAAGTGCTAGGATTACAGCCAGGGGCCACCATGCCCAGCTACATGATTGTCTTGATGTTATCCATCTCTTGAAATTCCACATGAGTTTTAGAATCAGTTAATTTCTACAGCAAAGGCAATTGAGAGACCCTGATAGGGGTTATGTAGTTATGAATTTGGAGAATATTGTCATGTTGATGTTCTTCTGACCCTTAAACATGTACTATTTTTTCTGTTTATTTGGATCTTTTAAAATTGCTTTGAACAATGTTTTGTAACTTTATATGTTTTTGAACTTCCCTTGTTCATTTTATTCCTATTTTTTCTTTTTGACACTTATCAATAGAATTGTTTTCCTAATATTAGTTGTAGATTGTTCATTGCAAATTATAGAAATACAGTTTATTTTTGTACATTGATCCTGCAATGTAACTGTAATTGTTAGCTTTTTAAAAATTTCTTAGAATACTGTATATCTATTCATGCCATCTGCAAATTGGAATTTTGTTTCTTCCATTAGAGTTTCTGTCTGGATGCTTTTGCTAGAATCCATGGTATAATGTGAATAGAAGTGGGCAAAAGTGGGTATGCTTATGGTATTCCTATTCCTAGAGCAAAGTATCCGGTATTTAACCAATAAGTATAATTTTAGCTATGTGCTTTGCGTGGATTCCCTCTGTCCAGTTGAGGAAGTTCTCTTATATTTTATTCTTATTTTGTTCAAAGAGTGATAATTTATGTAATTTTCAGTCATGTGATTGAAATTATGTAATTTATAAGTGTTGTAAAGATTTAGCAAACTTGAAAGTATGTAATGTTTTCTCATAGCCACATGACAGTAATGTACTCTAGTCATAAGAAAATGCCAGCATGGCATTTGCATAAAAATACATATATGTTTTAGTGGAACAGAATATTCATAAAGACCTCAAGGAAATTAGACTCCCTAAAATAGAGGACCTAATCGAGAAATGGGCAACAAATAAATAGGTAATTCTCAGAATAAGAAATATAAATGGCCAGTAAATAGATGAAAAACTGTTCCACTCTGCTGACCATTAGACAAATGCAAACTAAAACAATACTGTGGTTTCATCTTATTTCAGAAAGACTAGTCATCATCAAGAACTCAAATAATAAAAAGTATTGGCAGCATTGCGGTGAGAAAGGAGTACTTTTAGATTACTGGTGACAATGTACAACCATTATGGAAATCAGTGTGATTTCACAAAAACTAAAAATTAGAAGTTCTCCTTGACTCAGCTAGCTATTCCCCTTTCAAGTGTTTTCCCAAAAGAGATAAAGACATCACATTACAGTGATAAACGTATACTAATGTTCATATTGGTGCAGTTCATAATACCTAAATCTTAAAAGTAGCCTGTGTGTCTGTTATCAGACAAATGGAAAGGCAGTGTGGCATCTATACACAATGAAATACTACACAGCTATAAAAGAATGATAAATTTGAGACATTTGTAGGAAAAAATGAGAACATAAGATTAAATGAAATAAATCAGATATACAAACTTACATACTGTGTGATTTCTCTCACATGAACAACCCACAGTATAAGTAAAGAGAAAAATAAAAATAATGATAGAAGGAAAATGGGGAGATAGATCTTTTGCAAATGGGAAGGGGATCAAGTGTCTGATGATAGACTAGGGAGTGGGGAAGGGAACATAAAAGTATTTAAGGTATGTCATATAAATGTACTGATTACCCACAATAATGCAATCATTTATGCTGTAAACATGAACTAAAAAAATGTAAAAGGAAGAGGGAATCTAGGATGGAGGGAAGACAATGGGTAGGGGAAGGAGAATAAGAATTAAGGTATTTGAAGTACATTTACTTGCTTGTTAAGATGAAGGTAAACATGTACTAATAAAAAAATGTACTCAACATGATGCACAAATATGGTCTGCGTGTTTGAGGAATAATCAAAAAACAGCACAAAATATGGCAAATAGATGATAAATTTTGAATGTAATGACTTGGGGCTCAGATCATTCAACTATTGAAGACTGTAGGTAATATTGATCAGCAATTTAATGTGTTACTTTCCTGTTGTATGAAAGAAGTAAATTACTCTTTCTTGTAGAACTACCATACCCTTAAGTTTTAACATTTTGAATGAGCTTATTGTGGTTTTCATTTCCACATTATTTCAGTGGTAGTGTCACACAGAATAATTAAATTAAACATGGTGATTACTTGACACAATTTAAGTATTTAACATATCATACTATAACTTTTTGAAAGTATAGAGGTCTTCCAGTACATGAAAGATTTTTTTGTGTATGTTTTCCATTTGAGTTTTCGCAGATAAGAGCTATACATTGTGAAGGTTGTGAACAGTTACTAAAATTTAATGTTTAAACATGACTTTTAGTTTAAATTAATATGTACTTTTAAGAAATAACTATTTTATATATATATATATATGTTTAATTTACAGGAAAACATCTTTATGTATGGAGGCAGAATTGAAACAAATCATGGAAATGTTACAGATGAATTATGGGTTTTTAACATACATAGTCAATCATGGAGCACAAAGACTCCTACTGTCCTTGGACATGGTCAGCAGTACGCTGTGGAAGGACATTCAGCGCATATCATGGAGTTGGATAGTAAAGATGTTGTTATGATCATAATATTTGGATATTCTGCAATATATGGTTATACAAGCAGCATACAGGAATACCATATCTGTGAGTGTTTTCAAAAATTGATTTCCTTATTGGTTGAGAATGTTTTTATTTTTAAAGAAATCTAAGTGAGTCAAAATGCTGAATTATTTGAGATTCAAATTGTAAGCCAACAACTAGTGATTTTAATATTAGCTTTTTGATTATATTAGATTTTGTTCCTTAGCAATTAAGTTTATTCTCTTGATCAAATGAGGAACGATACATACCATTCTCATTTTCCAAAACTTAAAATTATTTTTAAGTTTGAGAAATTTCAGTAGGTGGTGCTTTTTCCTTGGATTTTGCTTATAAATCAAGAGCTGTGAATAACATAATCTCCTTAATATACATTCTATTATTTCAAGATTTTTCATTTTCCAGAATTTTATTTCTAACGTTATTGCTATAACTGTTTATAAATTATTCATTAAAGTAGGCTTACCAAGAATAGTCTGTTGACCTGTAAAAGAGATTACCACCTAATGTGTGAAGGTGATTAGGGCACTCTACATAATTTCTGTACTATACTCTTACTCTTTTGTTTGTTTTTTATGGCACTTTATTTTTTGCATCCTTTATGACATTTTCAAGCAATGGTAACCTTTTTGTTGTTCTTGATTGTCTACAAATATGTACCCTATGATTGCTATTTAGAGTGAAGAACGTACTCCATTTGTGACTGCCAGGGCTTTGAACTCAAGTTTTTGACTCTTGTGTGTTCAATTGTATGTAGCTATTTAGAGTCCTTGCACAATTTTGGTGAGAAAACTCATTTCAGATTATCATTAGTAACAACAGAAGAATGTATGTAGACTCAGAGAAAACTGTCCTTCACTGTTCCCTGTAGTCCTTTGATGACTGTTTTCATCTCTGCCTCCTTGACAGAGCTGGTTTGAAAATGGGATATGTCTCTTTTTTACTCTCTATTGCTGTTTCCCTTCTATTCTTAGCTCCTTTCTTATCAAAAACTCCACCTCATTTTGTATCTTATATTATCTGGTCTTACCTCTTACTACCTTATCTTTTTGTATCCATCTTTTGCTTCTCGTTTTACTCTTATTTTTTTGAAGAATTTACCTTCCAGCTTATTATCATTCTGTCTAGAGTATATCAGTCAACTATTTTTATGATTTAAATATTCATATAAATACTTCTTGTAATACATGGTCTCTTAATTTCTTTGTGAAAGACTTGTCTTCCATTTTACATGATCTACCGTTTCTCGTTGCCATACTGTTGATCTTGTTCTGATATCACTGATAGTCTTTTAATGCCTCTTTCAAGTATAGTATCTTATCCTTCAAGTTCACTGATATTTTCAGCCTACCTGCACTTATATACTGTGACAGTTCTTTGACTTTTCCAGTGCTATTAGCCATTGAGCCTCTAATCATTTCTCAGTGTCTTTCATCTCTGGCCCCTGATTCTTTCAAGCTTTACATTCTTAATCACCAGTCTCAAATTGCCCCTTGTATGAAATCCCTGTCAGTCAGGTTTGGTCTGTTTTCCAGTGTTCCCTAAATATTTTATACATTTTCTTTTTTCCTCAAATTTCCAATACTTTTTTCTCTGTCATCACTTTCAGCTGACAATATTATTTACTGAGAAAACAGATGTAATCTAATAATAATCAAAAGAGAATTTCTATTGATGGGAACACGTTGAAGTGCAATGGTTAGTAAACAATCCTTCATTGCATTAGTTTGCTTGCAGATGTTATTGTAATCACAAGCTTATGATAACATGGAAACAAGCAAGCCATGATTGATTTATTCTGATTTTTCACGTGAGTCCAGGAGTTAAGGAAGGATTATAAATTTTCGTGAGTTCGATCCCTGGTACCGATAAAAAGGAAAAAGACAAAAAATAAATAAATAAATTTTCTATGAAAAAGTGCTGGTACTGTTTTTTTTTTTTTTCTGATTTTGTTGTTAATTTTTGGTTTATTATAGAGTTAGGAAAGTTGTAGGTATTTTCTGCCTTTAAAAATTTACTGAAATTTTATTTATTGCTTAATTTTCATAAATATTACATAGGCCTTTGGGAGAAAGTAAACCCTCTAATACCGTGGGATTAATACACATATTAAAGATTTACATATATAAAAAATATATGTACATAATCTACTTTATTATTTGTATTGTTTAGGTCTTCTAGTACTTTTTTACATGTGTTCTGTCTTTCTCTGGAAGTTGAATTAAGATCATAAAGTGATAGTCTTTGTGCCTATTGTGTATTCTGGAATTAATGCTTACTGGAATTTGCTTTTGTGAATATTAACTATTTTGTGTTAATTGTGTATTGTATAATTAATGTTATAATGTGATTTTGCCTTTATGGTTATTGATCAGCAGTCTAGCTTATACTATGTCCCTCAATAGTTGTTTCTTGATATACTTTTTCTATCTTTTTATTATCATTACTATTTAGTGTTTCAGAATAAAAATTTATCTCTTGTGAATGAGTGAGAGTTGATTTTGTTTTGTGATTTCCACCTGTTTTTTGTAATTTTACTGTACATGTTTATATTTCTTTCAAATCATTCTGCTTTCTTTTATTTTCTGTTTTTCATTCTGTTTTTTTTTTTTTTTTTTTTTTTGTAAAATTCTTTGTATGTTTAGGGTCCCCTTCCCTCACCCTTTTCATGGGAATAAGTTTGGTAATTTTTGAGACCTGCCACCATTAGTTTCCTCCATGTTCCTTCTCGTGTTGCTTTCTATATTGTTACACTTTGCTCTGTCTCTCTTAGTTTTGTTTTTTGAGCATTTGCATTTAATTTGGAATTCCTTTTAGATGCTCCTAGTTTTTGTGGATATATAATTTTTTTCTACTCCATCCACCTCCCCCATGTTTTCTTTTTGCTTTATATGGGCTCCCCAAGGATAATATGATGATTTACAACTAAATCATTTCCAGCCTTGTACTTGAAATGTGTTTAAATTCTTTACTAAATCTAAAGCTAATATTTTTATGTTTTAATTGATCTCCAATTTATGGACTACTGTTTCTGCTGTTTGTTTAGTTTCAAACACAAATGACATTATATCATTTTTTATACTAAAGCTACACAAAAATGTTTTTACAGAGGGGCTTGTGGGTCACACAATTTCTGTCAAAACTAACAAGTTCTGTTGTACTGTGAAAATAGCATGAAAGCAGCTACACATAATACATAAACAAATGGACATGACTATGTCCCAGTAAAACTTTATTTGTAAAAGCAAGTGGTTTTTACCCCTGCTCCTGAAACACAGTGTATGCTTCTTAGGCCCTACCAAATTTGGGCATTATATATAAAGAAAAATCATGTTCCCCAAAGACATGATTTTCAGTTTGTACAAAAGGTTCCCACAAGGAACAGATTTTTTTTTGGTTCAAGTGGAGAGAAGGCTGAAATATATGGTTTCTATTTGCCTCTCTAGGGAAGATTTTTAAAAAGTCACTTTTTCACTGAGGTTGTAACTGTATAGTGATTCTGACTTTCTCTCAGATCCAGTAGCTTTATGGGCCCACTTTCAGTGCTAGCCATTGAAACAGCAAACTACATGTTTGGTGGCCCATAATTATCCTTCACAATATAGTCTGCAGCTTATAGTATGCATTTCATCCTTTTTGTATTTGCCTTTGTTGAATGACAATCTTATTTAGCCATGAGATACAATGGTGGTTATGCTAGGAAAGGCTAGGAAAGTAAAACAGATTTATTCTTATTTGCCATAAATGATAATGATTGATAAAGGTTGTTGGCTAATACATTTTTATCTCCATTTTGAAATAATGTGATAATAATACAGCAGGTATACTTTTGGTAAATTTAAGAATATTTCTGTTGGAGTCTTTTGGATTAATCTATAAATAAAATGTCATTTATTTATTTATTTATTTATTTATTTATTTATTTATAATAGAACTCAAGGCCTTCACACAAAGCTACGTTCCTAGTCCTTTTTAAGACTTTATTTTGGAACAACTTATTCACTATTTTGCTTAGACTTGGCTCAAATTTATGATCCTCTGAGACTATAGGGATTATAGGCTCGAATTACAGATATGTGCTACCATGCCTGGGCCCAAAATGTTTTTTTCTAAATAAATTTATCAACAAGATATTTTTGCCTTAATTTTTATTTTACTCATTTCATTACTTATCAGGCATTCTTAAGAATGCAGTGTAAGATGAAAAGGGAAGAATTATGTTTATGAGCTTTATAAGAATAAAATGAACTGTGAGCAGTTTAGATATTCTGTGGATTAACTACAAAGTAAATCATCAGTTTTTCTTTATGTTTTAATAGTAAGATTAATTTATTTCCTTATTCCTAATGCATTTTGAGTTGTTGCTTAAATGTTGAGAGTATTTGGTGTCAAAAATGATAAATACTTTCATTTGGGAAAGGTCTTACAAAGATATGAATACAAGACAATGGGTAAATATAGTTGAAAGATGTTTGAATAATTAAGTTTACTATTCAGTAAGTAAGTGCTACTTTAGGGGATGGTAGTATATTAAGTAGAACTGCTTAGATTATAAATGATGAGATGATTTATCATGTTAGTTATCATAAGTGCTTATTACTTCCACAGAGAGAAGTTTTTTCCTTGTTTTTAGTTGGAACCTACTATATGTGATTCTAGTTTAGTCTCTTTCCTGATGGATTTTAATGGCGTCAACTACGCAAATGTAGGTTGAATTTACTTTAGGTATTGCTACATATTTGAAGTGTCTAGAATAAAGCATCCAAGTATTTTACTATTTTAAGAACAAATAAAACAAATTTTTATAACCAAATAAAAGAATAACGATAGTTAAAATACTGAAAATAATTGTGAGGTTTATTGGTTCTGTGTTTAGTACTGTGAGTCTCCTTTGAGGTTTTGTCATAATTATATTTAGAACAGAGGAATCATCTCACTTATTTTAATTATTATAATTTGAGTGTTAAACATTAACATTAAAATAAGGTACTAGAGGATATTTTTTAACTGTTAAGACTGTATCTAAATAGTTGGCTGTAATTATT